GGGCTGAGCCTCTACCCAGAGGGCAATAGGGAGTCACAGCAGCGTTTAGAGAAGGGCAGGGCTTGGCTTGGGTGTTTCAGAGAGGCCTGTTTGGGGCCTGGGTAGGAGTGAGGAAGGTGAATGGTATCTGGGGCAGCCACCTGCAAATAACCCATCTGGGGCCACCCCTGAATCTCTCTCTTTTTTTTTAAGAGTTTCACTCTTGTCGCCCAAGCTGGAGTGCAATGGTGTCAGCTTGGCTCACGGCACCTTCTGCCTCCCGGGTTCAAGTCATTCTCCTGTCTCAGCCCACCACCACGCCCGGCTAATTTTTTGCGTTTTTAGTAGAAACAGGGTTTCACCGCATTGACCTCCGGTGATCCGCCCGCCTCGGCCTCCCAAACTGCTGGGATTACAGGCGGGAGCCACAGCCTGACCCCTGCTCTGAACCTGTCGTCTTCCGAGGGCACAACTTTGCAAATCCCGGAGACTCCCTGGCTGCTCTAGCCTCCCTGCGAGACTCCTCTGCAGTCGCTCCCATTGCCCGCCCCCAAGGGGCCTCAGTTTCCCCATCTCTACCATACACAGGTCAGACATAAGAGACTGTTTCTCAGCCACCCCGTGCAAGCCCAACCATGCCCACAGTGCCAAGACACTCCTCAGCCCACAAGACCCCTTGGCTGGAGGGATGGCTGGGTCCTCAGAGCACCTCCCTCCTGCCTCTCTCCCTTCTGTAGAGATAGGGTCTGGCTCTGCCTGTCCAGGCTGGAGTGCAGTGGGGTGATCATAGCTCACTGCAGCCTCAAACTCCTTGGGTTCAAGTGATCCTCCCACCTTGGCCGCCCAACCTCTCCCTTCTTTCTGGCCTTCGTTTGCCCATCTGTAAAATGGGAACGCGTGTTTTCATCTCATTAAGTTATTCTGAGACTAAATGGGTCAGCAGATGTAGGTATTGCTCCGACATGAGAAATTGTGTCCAGCCCCTGCGAACTCCTACTCCTGCTCCAAAACCCAGTGTAAATTTTCCATCATCAGTTCAGGCCCAGGACAGCCTTTGGCTCTTCACTGTCCTCTGCCCTCTGCTCTCCCAGCTCCAACCCTGACCCCACGGGGAGGGCTCGTGTCTGGCTCTGGCTCCCCCTCTGCCAGGCTAGTGGGCGGTCCTTCCTGGAGTTCCAAAATGACTCCGCGTGGGGCACAGCAGGAATGCTGCTGGAGAAATGGAGAGGAAGAGAAGGATCAGGGAAGGGATGCGGCAATGGGGAGCCAGAGAAGGTGGAGGAGGGAGGCAGTGCACTCGGCAGAGACCTCGGTGGGACAGATGGAGAGAGGGAGCCGGGAGGAGGTGGGCAGAGCCAGATGGACGGGCAGGGGCGACAGGAGGGGTGGGGTGTGGGGAGACCCAGATCCCCTCTTGGCATGCCTCCTCCTGGCTCGGGCGGGCAGCGCGGGCAGGGCCGGCCTGGGCGCAGGGCGCAGGGCGCGCGGCGCGGGGCCCGAGCGTGCAGTGCGGCGGGTGCGCGCCCGTGCGCCCGGGGCGGCCGGGCGGGCGGGCGGCGGCACGTGGATGCCAGCCTGGCGCGCGTCTCCAGGCCGGTGGGTAAGGCGGGCGCCGGGCCGCGGGGTGGGGACAGCCGGGCCTTGGAGTTCGGATTTGGTGTGGAGGCCTGGAGAGGAGGGGGCTACCCAGCTGGCTTCTCTGGACCAGACCAGGAACCCCTCTCCCCGGGCCTCCAAGCTGACCCAGGAGCGGGGGAAGGGACCTCCCAGTAGGAGGCGGAAGGGCCCAGGCTATGTGAGGCTGGGAGAGATGGGGAGCAGATACCCCCGCCCCCCAACCCCACAACAAGGTGGGGGTGGAGGGTTCAGTGAGGGGGGCAGATTCTCTCCCCGCAGCCGCCCCTCCCCGCCTCCCTCGTCCATCTCCAGAAGATTATATTTAAATATCTCTTTTGTGCAAGGCAGGAGCTGGGCTCGCCCCTAAGAGGCGGTTTCCATGGCAACAACAATTGCCAGCTTCCGTGTGGTGAATCAGCGTTGCCATGGCAACCCCATCCTCATCTGCCCAAGGTGCTGGGAGGGGGGAGGAGGTGAGGGCCAACGGAGGTGGGGTGGGAGGGGTGGGGGGGAGCAGGAGGCTGGAGCTCCTGCAGGTGCCCCCCCATCTCTCCCCACCTCCCCTGGCACCCCGCTCCCAGCCCAGAAGCTGGTCCCATCTGGTTGAAACCGTCTCCCCTCCTGCCTCCAGCCTAGCAGGGTGTGGTACCCAGGTGGAAAGGGCCCCGGTGTGTATGCATGGGGGGCATGGGGTGGGAAGGAGGTCCCGCTGACTGGGCGGGGGAGGGGCACGGAGGTTTTCCTCTCCTAGGTGGTCAGGGTCCCTCTGAGGGTGTGGCTGGGGGGCAGGAAGGTTGGGCTGGGAGGATTGGGAGCACAGGGTCAGGGAGGCAGGGGCCTCTCTGGTTCTGGGGCCCCCAAGGCTGAGTTCAGATTGAAGAAACCATATGTGCCGAGGACATGCACTCAGGAAGGAGGGTGTCAGAATGGGAGAGGGTCTTGGAGAGGGGAGGGGACCCAGAGATGAGGAAGAGCGTCTGAATCGGGAGGGGCTCGAAGGAAGAGGGAAGCTTGGGGGGGGCGGGTGGACATGCAGAGGGGCCTCTGAGGAAGGGAGTGCAAACCGAGGGGTTGCTCAGGGTGGGAGAGAGGCCATGGAGCTGGGATGGGGCTTAGAGAAGGGGTCACATCACAAGGGACAGAGCTCCGTGGGGAGGGGACTTTGGGGGTTCAGAGATGGGGAGGAGCCCTTGTTTATGGGAGTGGCTGGACAGATCACTGAATCTGGAGTCCAGAAAGGCTTCACTCACCACGGCCTTACACAGATAACTTTTGTCTTAGACAAATAACAGAAACCTCGATGTTGACATCTGTAGAATGGGGTGAAAATGGCACCTCTCTCTGAAGCTTGTTGGGCAGCTGTGCTGTGATGAGAAAACCTGGCATTTGGCCGGGCGCGGTGGCTCACGCCTGTAATCCCAGCACTTTGGGAGGCCGGGGCGGATGGATCATGAGGTCAGGCGATCCAGACCATCCTGGCTAACGTGGTGAAACCCCATCTCTACTAAAAGTACAAAAAAAAAAATTAACCAGGCATGGCAGCGTGTGCCTGTAATCCCAGCTACTTGGGAGGCTGAGGCAGGAGAATTGCCTGAACCCAGGAGGCGGAGGCTGCAGTGAGTCGAGATTGCACCACTGCACACCAGTCTGGCGACAGAGCGAGACTCTATCTCAAAAAAAAAAAAAAAAAAGAAAAGAAAAAGAAAACTGGGCGTTCGCCGGGCGCGGTGACTCACGCCTGTAATCCCAGCACTTTGGGAGGCCGAGGCGGGTGGATCACGAGGTCGAGAGATCGAGACCATCCTGGTCAACATGGTGAAACCCCGTCTCTACTAAAAATACAAAAAATTAGCTGGGCATGGTGGCGTGTGCCTGTAATCCCAGCTACTCAGGAGGCTGAGGCAGGAGAATTGCCTGAACCCAGGAGGCGGAGGTTGCGGTGAGCCGAGATCGCGCCATTGCACTCCAGCCTGGGCAACAAGAGCGAAACTCCGTCTCAAAAGAAAAAAAAAAAAAAGAAAACTGGGCGTTTTTCAAGTGTGTTCTCTGCCGAAACTCCAAAGTCAGAATAGAAAGAGCACTTCGGAACCCACAGGGCTCGGGGGGCGTGGGGATCCATTTCAAGTTTGTCTGACTTGGAAAAAGCTCTGAGCCTAGCAGTCTTTCCCATCCCAGACGCCTCTCTGTGTTGGTGGAAGTTGGCCACTTCCTTCTGCCCCTTCTGTTCAGCAGGTTTCTCCATTTCCTCTACGTGTCCCTCCCTATGTGGGGAGATACTGTGGTCCCCTGTCTGGAGAGAGACAGAACAAGACATAGACACTTCCGGCCCTGAGACAGAGGGAGGAAGGAGCCCAGAGGAGTGGAAAGAGTCCCTGCATGGGGATTTTTAAGTTGGGTTTTGAAGGTTGAATAGGAGTTTGCCACAGACATCAGGTTGGGAGAAGGGTTCTGTCCCAGGACCAGTGGAGATACAAATGCCTCCCCAACTCTCACTTCCCTAGAACCTGTTCTCAAATATCCGAATTAGCTCATACGTAGGACTGGGTGTGTTGTGAGGGTTGGTGCAAGGGAGAATTTGGTTTTTCATTAAACATGATTTTCAGTGCCTGGGGCAGGGACAAAAGTGTCTGGAACAATGAATCCAGATCACAGGTGGATCCACTCAGGTATGACCCCACCCAAAGCTCCCGTATGATTCCTCCCAAAGCTCCTGGGAGATGTGGCTAAATATAGCTGCCTTGGTGTATCAGTCAGCACTGCTGAGTAACAAACGACTTCAGTAATTGTATTTGTTCTCGATTCTGCAAAGCTTGGTCTGGTCTCAGCTGGACAGTTCTTCTGTTGGCCTCTCTTGGGGTCACTCAGCAGCTGCAGTCAGCTGAGACTCCACTGGGCTTAGCAGGAGAGGAGGGGCAGCTCCTCTTGGGCTTCTCCACCACGCAGTCTCAGGCTTCCAAGAGTGGAAGCCACAAGGTCCCTCGAGGCCTAGGCTCAGAACTCCCACAACTTAACTTCCGCCACACTCTGTGGGTCACAGCAAGTCACTTGGTCAAGTTCAAGTGCCAGGAGTGGGAAAACAGACTCTAGTTCTTGATGGTGGGAACTGCAAAGTCACGTGGCATAAAGAGACGGGAGGAATTGGGCCTATCGCATTTGGGGAAGCAAGGAGGTTTCCTGAAGGAAGGGATATTGTGGTTGGGTTTTGAGGGCTAACTAAGAGTTCGCCACACAAGTCCCCTTGTAGGCGGGACCGTGCGTCATTTGCTTTGACTGGCGGTGTTAGTGGGGTGCTGAGGGCTGGTGGTGGGAGGTGAGCAGGGCTGCACTGCAGAGCTCAGGCAAAGCCCCCGCCCACCGCCCTCCCGCCGTGGAGCCTGACTTTTCCCTTCCCCCTCTCTCTGCAGATGGCGCGGCCAATCCAGGTGAAACCTGCGGACAGCGAAAGCCGTGGAGGTAGTTGTCATCTCTCTGTGGCTGCCAGGCTGGGGGTTGGCAGAGGAATGGGAGAAGGAAAATCTCTTCCTTCCTCTCTCCCCCAAAGGGGTAGTGGCCGAGGCCTGTGCATCTGGGACTGGCCTCCCTGCCCCGAAGCACGCAGTAGTCGCATGCCTGCTCACACGCAGGGGGGAGGAGAGGCAGGGGTTCCAGAGAGCAGCAGGGGCTATGTCCACAGACCCCAAGGAAGGATGGAGGGGTCTAACCAGGTCCAGCTGCCTTCCCCCTAGAGTTTGAAATATCCCACTCCCTTCAGGGTGCAATAATCGGGGGCTTTAAACACAGACGATTGGGGCCTGAAGGGCTGTGGATTGCTCTCTGGGGTCTCTGTGTGCAAATGTGTGTGTGCTTGTATGTGCATGCTTGAATGTGTGTGCATATGAGTGCACACCCGCCTGGCCTGCGTGCAGATGTGTGTGTGTGAGTCTGTGCACGTGTACATTTGTGTTTCTGCAGATGGTGCACAGAGCACATGTGTACGGTGTGCGGTGGGATGCCTTCCTGCCCGCGTGCATGTGTGTGTGCCCGGCCTGCGCATAGGCGTCTTTGCACGTGTGTGCTTGACTGTGGGAGGCTGGGGCCACTGGGGTCTGTGTGGGGCTGAAGCTTGGTGTCAGGACGTCCCCATGGCGGGGGCATACTCGGCTGTTCCTTGGGACCCAAAGCTAGTCATTCTTGAAAATGTGTATGTTTCAGCCGGGCGTGGTGGCTCAAGCCTGTAATCCCAGCACTTTGGGAGGCTGAGGCGGGTGGATCACGAGGTCAAGAGATCGAGACCATCCTGGTCAACATGGTGAAACCCTGTCTCTACTAAAAATACAAAAAATTAGCTGGGCATGGTGGCGCATGCCTGTAGTCCCAGCTACTCAGGAGGCTGAGGCAGGAGAATTGCTTGAACCCAGGAAGCGGAGGTTGCGGTGAGCCGAGATTGTGCCATTGCACTCCAGCCTGGGTAACAAGAGCAAAACTCCGTCTCAAAAAAAAAAAAAGAAAGAAAATGTGTATGTTTCTTTTCCACCTCAAGTGGAGACTGAAGAGGGGCAGCCAGACTTGGTTGAGTGGTGTGGGGCAAGAGTGTTAGGACCTCTAGGTATATGTAGGAGCCCGGTAAAGGTCCTCTGGAGCTGGGAGCCCCTTTCACACTTTCACACGCTGCCAGCGTGGGACAGGGAGTAGCGAGGTGGGGTCTGCACTCTATTTCTCTCTCCGCATCGCCCTCTGTGTATCTCTTTCTCCTTCTTCCCTTCTCTGTCTCTTCGTCTCTCTTATTCTCTCTCTCTCTCTCTCTCTCTCTCTCTCTCTCGCAGTCTCTCTCGCACGTGCTCTCTCTGATCCGTCTCTGTCTGCCTGATTCTCGGTCTCTCTGCTGGTCTCTCTCTCTCCTTCCCACCCCCATGAGTGACAGCTGCCGAGAGCGGTTTCCATAGTAACCCAGCTCGCCGTCCCTCCTAGATGAAGCCACCACGTTCCCCATTACCAGGGAGCATGCGATTACCCAAAGGGGCAGAGCTCACACAGGAGAGGCTGGCCCAGCCCCTGCCTCAGACCAGGTTCCAGCCCAGCCCCACCCGGCAGAGGGTCCAGGCTGCCAGGGCCCCTGGTCCTGTGAGCACGTGAACCCTCACTCCATTCCACAGATGGTGACTGCCTGTCCCCTCTTGATCCCGACGAGGTTGGGCAGGGGCCTCTGCTGGGCACCAAGAGGGTCCAGGGACCGTCAGTGCCCATCTCCGCCTGGCAGGTACGGGGGGCAGACAGAAAGACAGACAGGGACCCAGGCCCGGCGAGGCAGCTCCTAGCCGTAGTGTTCGGTGCGGGCTCTGAGTGCACCAGAGGGAGAGGTCATCTCCGCCGGGAGGGGGAGCAGTGGAGCAGAGACCCCAAAAGACTGCAGGGAGTGCATACCAGGCGGGCGCGCCGCCTGGGCAAAAGCCCAGAGATGGGAACCTGCAGGGCCCGTGGGAGGGTGGAGAGATCCGGGGCAAGGAAAGGGCACGGCTGGGTCCTCCCTCGCAGGCGCAGAACCAGAGCCGGCGGGACCCGGGCGCTGCATCTTCCTGCCCTGCCGCCTCCACTCTGCTGGAGGGAGGGAGGGAGAAATCCCGGAGGCCCTCCCGGAGGCCAGGGGCTCGGCTGAGGTGGGTGTCGCCGCCCACAGGGGACCGGAAGCTGTTCGTGGGGATGCTGAACAAGCAGCAGTCAGAGGAGGACGTGCTGCGGCTGTTCCAGCCCTTCGGAGTCATCGACGAATGCACCGTGCTCCGGGGGCCTGATGGCAGCAGCAAAGGTGACGGGCGGGGGCCGGGGCGGGACTGCGAGAGGGGCGGGGCTGGCACTGGGGGGCGGGGCCTGTGGAGAGGGTGGGGCCTGCAGCGTGGGGAGGAGCCGGCTACAGGGTGAGACCTTGGGTAGGGGCGGGGCTTCCCCAGGGGTGGAGTCTATAATAAGGCAGCAGGGGCGGGGCCTGGGTGGGGGAACTGCAGGGGCGGGCCTTGGGAGGGGCTGGGGCTGCAGTATGGGGAGGAGCTGGCTCTGGGGTGGGACCCTGGGAAGGGGCGGGGCTTCTCCAGGGGTGGAGTTTGGGTGAAGCTGCAGGGGGCAGGGCCTTGGGCGGGGCTGGGGCTGCAGGGTGGAGTGGAGCTGGCTCTGGGGACGGGGCCTGTGGGGCAAGATCCTAGGGAGGGGAGGGGCTTTACCTCCCTTGGGGAGGGCTGAGCTGCAGGGTAGGGAGGAGCTGGCCCTGGAGAGGCCCGAAGTTTCACCAGAGGTGAAGTCTGTGGGTGGGGCTGCAGCAGTGGGGTGTTGGGTAGGGGAGGGGCTACAGGGAGAGGTGGAACTCGTAGGGTTAGGAGGGACTGACTCCAGGGGGAGGTGGCGATGCAGAGGCGTGGCCTTGGAATGGGGCGTGGTTGGGGAGGGGCAGGGCTTCTCCAGGGGCTGCAAGTGAGTGGTAATGCAGGGGCGTGGCCTTGGGATGAGGCGGGGTCTGGAGGGGGCGGGACTTCTCCAGGGACAGGGTTACCTGTGTCCTGTGGTCTCGGATTCGTCCACCTGGCTGTTCTTAGAACTGTTTCCGCCTGGTTCTGTCTGACTCTATATGATTTGTCCATATGACTGACTGTGGTGGTCTCTGCCTGTCTGTCTTCCTTCCTGAGAATTCAAATGACGGTGTCTGGTGGTCTCTCCACAGAGCTCATCTGGAACCTACCATTCTGGTCTTTCCTACCTTACTAGGACTGAAAGTGTCCGATGGTTTCAGAGCATTGCCTGGTTCTTCCTTTTTAAAATTGAGATGTCATCCACATCCCACCAAATTCACCCTTTTAAAATGCACAGTGAGGCCGGGCGTAGTGGCTCATACCTGTAATCCCAGTACTGTGGGAGGCCAAGGCGGGTGGATCACTTGAGGTCAGGAGTTCATGACCAGCCTGGCCAACATGGCAAAACCCCATCTCTACTAAAAATACAAAAATTAACCGGGCGTGGTGGCGGGCACCTGTAATCCCAGCTACTCGAGAGGCTGAGGCCTCCGGCAGGTGGAGATTACAATGAGCCGAGATGGTGCCATTGCATTCCAGCCTGGGCAACAGAGCGAGACTTCATCTAAAACAGAAAATGCACAATGAAGTGCTTTTTTTTCTATTCATAAAGCGGAGCAACTATCACCACTATGTAATTCCAGAACATTCCACCCCCTCCCCCCACAATATGGCTGGTCCTTCCATAGTACTCTATCAGTCTGGAGCCGGGTCTCGTGGCCTCTGCCTGTTCTATGGCTTTGTCCGTGGGTCTGTGTTTGCATTAGCCTGCGTCTGGTGGTCTCTGGTGGTCTGTCTGCTTGTGTGGCTCTGTTTGGGTCTGCTCAGGTCTGCTGGTTGATCATTTCCATCTGTCTGGCTGGGTCAGACAGGTCCGTCTGTCTGGACCCACACATGTCTCTGCTGACTCTGCCCATGGGACTGTGTGTCCCACGGTCTGTCACTTTAACTCCGCATATCTGATCATAACTATCTGGACTTTTGTCCTGTCATTTGTTCTGATGGACGGGACCATGTCCCTGATGGTGCCCAGCCTTGCACTGTCCATCTGGCTGTGTGCTTCACAAACTCTATGACTGACCGTCTAACCAGCTATCCGGATGGCTGGCTGACTTTCTGCCGGACTAAATGAACGAATGGCAGGCTGGTTGGCTGGCTGCATGGGTGACCAGCTCTTCATCTAACTCTGTGGCCATCTATCTGTGCGATTCTCCTCCATTCTGACCCTTGGTCTGGCTGATTGTCCAGCTGTCTGTCTGAGCAAATGGCTGGCTGTCTTTCTGTCATCAGCTCTCCCTGGGAGCATGTCTGACACTGGCCACTTAGGTCTCTCTGTCCCCTCTCCTGTGTCCCCCACTCCACCAGCCCTGTGACCCCATCACTCCTCTATCTCCTTCTCTCGGAGCAGGCTGTGCTTTCGTGAAGTTCTCCTCCCACACGGAGGCTCAGGCGGCCATCCACGCCTTGCATGGGAGCCAGACCATGCCGGTGAGTTGCAGCTGCCCTTGGCCGTGGGGGTGGGCATGGGAAAGGGATGAGGGGGACAGGGATGAAACAGGCCATAGTCTTACCATCACTGTCATCCAGTAACCCCTGGCTGTCCTTCAGAGGGAGCACAAGTGGAGAAAGAGGTTCAGTCCCTGACTGTGGTCCCTTGTGTGGGTATTTGCATGTGGGTGTGTGCAGATGTGGAGGTGAGTATGCAGGCAAAGCGTGTGTTGTGCGCATGGATGTATTATAGGTGTGCGTGTGTGGGTGAGTGTACACATGTGTGTGTGAGCGTGCCTGAGAGAGTACATGCATGCATGTGTGTGTGAGTGCATGTTTGAGCACGTCATTACTGGTAGGAGAATGTTATGTGAGTGCTGTGTGCATGAGGGGTGTGTGTGAATATAGATGGTTAAGTGTGCCATGTGTGCTAGTGTGTAGATACTGGCACATGTGTGTGTTTATGTGAGTGCCCGTGTGTTTCTACATGTGTGTGAGCGTGTGTGTGAGTGTGCCCCGGCCCTGGGGGAGGAAGTGCATGTGTGTGCATCTGCAGGTGCGTTTGTGGGCAGGGGTGTGTGTGTGTGTGTGTGTGCATGAGTGTGAGTGTCAATATTGTGGGTGATTGTGTACAAGTTTGTGAGTATATGCAGTCGTCTGTGAGTATAGATTGTGAGTGTGAGTGTGTATGTGTGTGCATGTAAGGGTGTCCTAGAGGGAATGACACCTGGGTTGGATTTGCTGAGGACAAGAAGAAAGGCTGGGAGGTGGCAGCAGGCAGCCCGGAGGAGCCATAGAAGATGGGGCTGCAATTTGAGGCTGAGAAGTCGGGACTTTCTCCTAGGAGACGGTTTAGAGCAAGGGAGGAGACCGGCCAGGTTGATTGCAGATATCCCTTTGGGGCCAATGTAGGGGATGGGCAGGGTGCAAGACTGGAGGTTGGGAGGCCAGGGGGAGGCTGGGAGGCCAGGGAGGAGGCTAGGGCAAGGTCCAGCTGAGGGAGGAGGAGGCCTGAGCTGGGGCCACGTGGATGGGGAGGAGGCCTGGTCAGAAAACAGACGGTAGGGGAAGCCTGGATGGAAGCCATGGACTCATTGGGTGAGATAGGGATGGGGACTGGGGACAGGTCCCAGGGTCTGCAGCAGTAAGCAGCTGGTGGGACAAAGGAGTCACTGGGGATGGCCCTTCCCCTGAGGATGGAGTCCCGGGGAGCCATCGTCCCTACACACACATTTCCAAATCTGCTACAAGGAAGATGGCACCTGGGAGGAACAACCCTCCCCTCTCAGCTCTGAAAACCCAAAGGGGAGGGGCTTAGCTTACCCTCAGCACAAGGGTAAGTGTTCTCCAGCTCAGAGACATCAGGGACAGGGCTGGTAGGTGTCTGGAGAAGTGAGTTCTCTATCAAAGGGGGCATGTCAGCCAAGACAGGGAGGCTACAGGGTGTGTTCTGCTGGGAGACAGTTCATCAGGGAGGAACGGGTCGAAGGGGAAGAAATTTGGCTTCTTAAGCCCAAATCAGGGTATGGGGGGTGGGAATGGCCTCCTGGGCCCCTGACCCCAGGCCTCTCTCTCTCTCTCTCTCTCTCTCTCTCTCTCTCTGATTTTTTGTTTGTTTTGTTTTTTTGGGGATGGAGTCTTGACCTGTTGCCCAGGCTGGAGTGCAGTCATGAGATCTCAGCCCACTGCAACCTCCGCCTCCTTGGTTCAAGTGATTCTGCTGCCTCAGCCTCCTAAAGTAGCTGGGGTTACAGGCACATGTCACCACGCCCTGCTAATTTTTGTGTTTTTTGTTTTTTGGTTTTTTTTGAGACGGAGTTTCACTCTTGTTACCCAGGCTGGAGTGCAACGGCGTGATCTCGGCTCACCGCAACCTCCGTCTCCTGGGTTCAGGCAATTCTCCTGCCTCAGCCTCCCGAGTAGCTGGGATTACAGGCACGCGCCACCATGCCCAGCTAATTTTTTGTATTTTGAGTAGAGACGGGGTTTCACCATGTTGACCAGGATGGTCTCGATCTCTTGACCTCGTGATCCACCCACCTCGGCCTCCCAAATTGCTGGGATTACAGGTGTGAGCCACCACGCTCGGCCCCATTTTTGTATTTTTCGTACAGACAGGGTTTTGCCATGTTAGCCAGGCTGGTATCGAACTCATGACCTCAGGTAATCCGCCCACCTCGGCCTCCCAAAGTGCTGGGATTACAGGCGTGGGCCACCACGCCCGGCCACCAGGCTTCTCTTGACACTGATATCAGGACCCGTTGCCATGTCCTGACTGCACAGACAGATACCCCCTTGCTTACCACTGTCTCAGCTGCCCAGGGCTGCCTGTTGGCAGATTTCAGCTGTGTGGCACCTGTCCCTTGGGGTGGGATGGCAGTCACATGGTTTCTGTTTGTGCTTCAGCAAAGCAGGGCCCCCTGTCCCTAGTGGTGGCAGCCTTCCGCTGTCCGCCGGGTGGATGGATCACAGGTTCATCTGCTTGCACAGGGCACAAAACTCCGGGGCTGAACTCCCTGCTAGCTCCTGGCATGGGGGACAGAGTCAGGGTCATCTGCTTGTCCTGCGTCCTTCCTCTTCTGTGGCCAGAGTCTCACCTGTTCTCAGGTGTGAGAGAGACTTGGAGGGTCATCCGTCTGTGTCCCAGTTGCTCCTGGAGATTGGAGTTCAGGTGTGGGGTGACAAAAGCAGGGTCATCCATCTGAGCCTGCTGTTTCCCTTCGGAAGTGGGTTTCTCACCTGTTCTCAGGTGAGCGGAAGTCATAGGTGCCTCCATCTGTGGCTTTTCTCCATCTGTTGTGAGTGTGTGGCTGACAGTCAGGGCCCCCACCTGTGCCCCCTCACAGCCCCCTAGCTCTGGACGCCGCACACCTGTGCAGACACTGCTGGGCTCAGGATGCTGATCTCCATGCGGTCCTTGCCGTGGCCCCTGCTCCTGGGACTGGGGGCCCGTGGCCATGGCTGACAGCCACTGGCATTATGCCCCTCACCCAGGGGGCTGAGCTGATGTGGATCCAGGGACCCCAGAGTCCTGGCTACCTCCCAGCCCGTTTCCCTCCCTGCTCGCTGCTGCCCCTGCAGGGAGCCTCGTCCAGCCTGGTGGTCAAGTTTGCCGACACGGACAAGGAACGGACGCTCCGGCGCATGCAACAGATGGTGGGCCAGCTGGGCATCCTGACGCCCTCCCTCACACTGCCCTTCAGCCCCTACAGTGCCTACGCCCAGGCTGTGAGTGACCCAGTGATGGCTTGGGGGTCCGGCTCCGTCTCTCCTGTCTCTGTCTACTCTGTCGGGGGCTCCTGCCTCGTGGTCCATCTCCCGTCTCTCCCTCCATCTCCCTGACTCAGGGTCCTGTCCTGGTGTGACTGGACCCCAACTCCAAATAGAGACCAAGCTCAGACCAAGCCCCTAAATCCAGAAGACCGAGCCCTAATCTCAAATTAACACCAAATCTTGGACTGAGCCCCAGAACCTGGCTGTGCCCCACATCTAGATTAGGCCCAATTCTGGCTGAACCTCCAAATCCAGACTGACCCCAAACTGATACCTGACCTGACCGAGCTCCACCTTGGCTGAGACCGGATCCCAGGTTGAGCCGCCAGCTCCTGACTGAACCCCTATCCCAGGCAGAGCCTCAATTTCTAACTAAACTTTGATCCTACATGGAGACTTGATCTCAGCCTGAGCCTCGCTTCCTAACTGGGCCTTGATCCTAGACTGAGCCTTAGTCCCAGGCTGAGCCTCACTTCCTAACTGAGCCCTGGTCCTAGTCTGAGCCTTGATCCCAGGCTGAGCCTCACTTCCTAACTGATCCCTGTCCCAGGCAGAGCCTTGATCCCAGGCTGAGCTCCAATTGGGATCCCAGCCTGAGCCAAAATACCCATCCTGACTTCCCCTCTAGTTACTGGGGAACCAAGCCTCCCCTCGTGAGCCATGATCTCAGGCCAGGTGTCACCCCAACTGTGACACTTCTTCACCTCCAGCTCATGCAACAGCAGACAACAGTGCTGTCCACCTCGGGCAGCTACCTGAGTCCCGGCGTGGCCTTCTCACCCTGTCATATCCAGCAGATCGGTGCCGTCAGCCTCAATGGGCTGCCTGCCACACCCATCGCTCCTGCCTCTGGTGAGCCTCTGCCAGGAGCCCAAGGATGAATGGGCAGGGCCGGGGCCAGAACCAGCCTCCCCATGACCCTCTTCTGCTCCGCAGGGCTGCACTCACCCCCACTGCTGGGCACCACCGCCGTGCCCGGCCTCGTGACTCCCATCACCAACGGCTTTGCAGGTGTCGTGCCCTTTCCAGGTGGGCACCCTGCCCTGGAAACCGTCTATGCCAATGGCCTTGTGCCCTACCCAGGTAACTCGGGGTGGTCCTCTGGGGCCTAGGAGAGTGTCAGGGAGTAAAGATGGTGTTTCTGCAACAAGTAGGAGTCCCTGCATCACAGGGCAGGCCAAAGGGTGTCTCAGCTGAGCAGCTAAGAGCTGTGGACACAGAAAGAGAGGCCATGGCAGGGTGGTAACACTTCAAAACGGTGCATCTGGATGTTTCTGCGCTTAAGGTCCAGTTCATTGACCCTGGGTGGGCTCCTTTAGTCTCTGAGCCTCAGTTTGCTCAACTGGGAAAAGGAGCAGATAATATTATTAGTAGCCTCATGAAGTTGCATCAACAATTTAATCCACGTGCGAAAGGCTTCGCATGCCACGTGGTTCCAGGAATGGCACCATCGGTTTTTGTTTTGTTTTGTTTTGTTTTGTTTTGTTTTGTTTTGTTTTGTTTTGTTTGAGTCAGGGTCTCACTGTCACCCAGGCTGGAGTGCAGTAGCATGATCACCCCCGCTTCTCAGGTTCAAGTGATTCTCCTGCCTCAGCGTCCCAAGTAGCTGGGATTACAGGCGCGTGCCACCGTGCCCAGCTAATTCCTGTATTTTTAGTAAAGAGGGGGTTTCGCCATTGGCCAGGCTGGTCTCGAACTCCTGACCTCAGGTGATCCGCCTGCCTCCGCCTCCCAAAGTGCTCGGATTACAGGCATGAGCCACCGTGCTCAGCCCAGAAATCTTATTCATCTGTATCATTTGGGAAGATACCAGTGCCTGGATTCATTCATTTATTCATTCAATACAAAATGAGTGACCCACTGATTTGGGCTGCACCTGCTTTCATGAAGCAGAGGGCCTTACTTTCTCTATGCTACACCTACAATTTTAGGGCATATATCTTCCAACATCTAATTTATGGGAGGTAAGTCATCCGTTTTTCCACAATGTAGGATAATTTATTTTTAACTTTTTATTTTTTAAATTATTTTTATTTAGTTAATTTTAGAGACAGTATCTCACTGTGTCACTCAGGCTGGAGTGCAGTCACAGCTCACTTTAGCCTCTATCTTGAGGGCTGAAGTAATCCTCCCATCTCAGCCTTCCTTGTAGCTGGGACCACAAGCATGCACCATCATGCCCGGCTATTTTTAAAATTTTTGTACAGATGGGATCTTGCTATGTTGCCCAGACCTCAGATTCCTAAGCTCAAGCGATTCACCCACCTCGGCCTCCCAAAGTGCTGGGATTATAGGTGTGAGCCACTGCGCCTGGCTTTATATTTTATTTTGAAATGATTGGAGGTTCATAGGGAGTTACCCAAATATCACCGGGTAGTCCCATGTGCCCTTCACCCAGCTTCCGCAATGCCAACAACTTCCCTAACCACGGGACACCGTCAAATCCAGGAAATGAACACTGGCGCCATGCAATTAATTCAACTCCAGACCATATTCAAATGTCACTCCTTATTTATTTACTTACTTATTTAGAGACAGAGAGTCTCACTCATCGCCCAGGCTGGAGTGCAGTGGCACGATCTTAGCTCACTGCAACTTCTGCCTCCCTGGTTCAAGTGATTCTCCTGCCTCAGCCTCCTGAGTAGCTGGGATTGCAAGTGCATGCCACCACGCCCAGCTATTTTTTGTATTTTTAGTAGAGATGGGGTTTCACCCTGTTGGTCAGGCTGGTCTCGAACTCCTGACCTTGTGATCTGCCTGCCTGAGCCTCCCAAAGTGCTGGGATTATAGGTGTGAACCACCGTGCCCGGCCTGATTTCACGACTTTTTTTGCATGCACTTTGTGTGTATGTGTGGGGGGGGGGGATTCATTGCCATTTTGCCACAGATATAGACTTGTGTGTCCCCCACAGGGAACTGCTCCACGGCCCCAAAGTGAACTCCATGCTACCTCCTTTGGAGTCACCGCCACCGCCACTATCCCCTGCCTTCTGGCACACTGTCTCTATTGGAGCAGAATTTTTTGGTTGAATTTTTACCCAGACTCATCAGCTTTGGTGGCCTGGACAACCTCTTCCCTCCCCCTCCTCCTTTCCCTAGTGGTAGCAAGAAGGCCACAGCGGGATGGGGGAACCACAGGGTGTCTGATGAGCAAACTGAAGTGGAGAGGGAGACGGGGCAGGGGATGGGGGCAGGTGGCGATTTGAGGTGGAGGCTGAAGTCCTGGTGAACCCAGAGAATAGAGAGGAGTGAAGGGTCCCCTTGGGAGGCAAAGGGGTTGGGATAGGGAGAGAGAGATGGGGGCGATGGTGAGCTGTCTCTGGAGTCCGAGAAACCCCATGCCGGTTCAGCTCCTGCCTTTTGCTATCTGAGTGGGCCTGTGCCAGTGGCTTCACCTTCCTCGGCCTCAGCTTCCTGGTACTACAGAGGGTTTAGCACAGAAGTGAAGCTGGGGGGTGTGTTGGTTGCTCTCTTTCTGGCTCCTAAGGATCGGGGGTGGATGGAAGACTTCTGCTGCCCCCGCCCCACTTAGCTTCTCCGTCTGCTTCGCAGCTCAGAGCCCGACTGTGGCCGAGACACTGCATCCTGCCTTCTCCGGAGTCCAGCAGTACACAGGTAGGAGGCAGCCCGCGTGCCCACGCTGGGCTGGGGACCCGCCCCCGCCTAGGGACCCGCCCCCAGGGCCCGCCCCGGCCTTGTTCTTTTGCGCCTGGCCACGCCTCCTACCTCTGGCCCCGCCCCACAGGGCACGCTCTTGGCCTCTTGTCCCGTATGCAACTCCTGGCCCTGTTCCTGGTTCCACCCCACCACCAGGTGTAGCTGCAAACAGGACTTTCCCTTGTCCCTTAGGGTCAGAGCGCGTACCCCTAGCCTCACCCTCTCGTATTCTGGGCTGGGGAGAGGCGGTTCCCCTTGACCACACCTCTGGCCCTGAACCAACCCCAGCTCTCGGCCCCGCCGCTTACCTTCCTCCTGCAGCTCCGGGCCCCGCCCCTCCCAGGCTGCCTTTACTCTGACCACGCCTCTCTGATAAAGCCCTGCCCCTACCTCTGGCTCTACTTCCTAAGGCCTGGCTGTGACCCCGCCCACTGCCTCGGCCCCGCCCCTCAACTCATGGTCCTGCCCACATAGCCCTCCATCAAGTCACGGCCCCGCCCCACTCTTCCCCTTCACCCTGGTCTTGGCCGCGCCCTTCGCTGTGGCCCCACCCCTCAAGCAATGGTCCCACCCACTCTGCGCTGACCTTTGACCTTGGCCCCGGCCTCTGCTGTAGCCCACCTCCGGTACCCCTCTCCTCAAGCCATGGGGTCCACCGCCACCCCAAACCCACGCCGCCTCTTTGTCTTGGCCCTGCCCTCCACCATGGCCCCGCCCCTCAGGCAATAGCCCCACTTCATTTTGTCCTTGTGTTCTTGTGCCCGCCCTCTGACATGGCCCCGCTCCCCAGCCATGGCCACACCCATTCTCGTTTTGGCCCGCCCTCTCGTGGCCCCGCCCCGCCCCGCCCCGCCGCCCGGGGCTCCCACGTGGCCTCACGCCCCTCCTCGCCCTGTGTCTTGCTCCGGTCTCCGCAGCCATGTACCCCACCGCGGCCATCACGCCCATCGCTCACAGCGTCCCCCAGCCGCCGCCCCTCCTGCAGCAGCAGCAGCGAGAAGGTGAGGCGGCCGCGACCTCCCCTGGGCGCCAGCCCCGCCCTCTGCCCGCCCCGTTCACCTCCAGGCTCCGTGTCTGGCCCGGGCGTCTGGGACCCGCAGGGCTGAGAGTGCGGCCTGGGAGCTGGACGGGCCAGAATTGAGTCCTGGTGCAGTCGCTGGCTCCCTGGGTGTTCCCGGGTAACGGAATCTCCCTCTGTTTCCTCTTCTGAAAAGAGAACCATGCTCGTCCCGACCCCATAGGAATAGCAGTGACTTCCTACCAACCTTCTCCAGAACCAAGAGTGATTCTCTGGATTTTTTGGAGAGGAAACCCTTTTTGAGGATGGGGCATTGCACGATGAGGTATCTCAGGTAAACTGAGGCCTCCCCAGCAAAGCTAAAGCTGTGGAGGGAGGGAGGGATTAGATTCTGGAGTTTGACAGGGTTCAAATCCACACAGTTCTTGCCACGTGTCATAGCTCCCGCCTGTAATTACATACCGTTTTGGGAGGCCAAGGTGGGAGGATTACTTGAGCCCAGGAGTCCAAGACTAGCCTGGCTTAGCCATGTCTTAAAAAACAACAACAACAAAAAATTAGCCAGGAGCTGTGGTGCACACCTGTAGTCCCAACTACTCAGGAGGCTAGGGCAGGAGGATCACTTGAGCTGGGGAGGTCAAGGCTGCAGTGAGCTATTGTCCCCCTACTGGGCTCCAGCCTGGGTGACAGTGAGATCCCATCTCAAAAAAAAAAAAAAAAAAAAGAAAGAAAAGAAAGTCCCAAGCTGGTAACAACCCAAGTGTTGTAAATCAGCAGGAAGATGGATAAATAAATTCGGATGGATCAGCACAATGGAATACTATACAGCAGTGAAAAAGGATAAGTACCCAATGCTCGCAATGACAGAGTAACTTCACAGGCAGAAAACTGAGTGAAAGAAGCCAGATACAAGAGACTCCACTTAAATGAAGTTTAAAAACAGCAGGCCAATTGAGGTGGCTTACGCCTGTAATCCCAGTATTTTGGGAGGCTAAGATGGGTGGATTACCTGAGCTCAAGAGTTCGAGACCATCCTGGCAAAACCCTGTGTCTACTAAAAATACAAAAAATTAGTTGGGCGTGGTGGCAGGTGTCTGTCATCCCAAGTACTGGGGAAACTGAGGCACAAGAATTGCTTGAACCGGGGAGCTGGAGTTTGCAGTGAATCAAGATTGTACCATTTCAGCCTGGGTGACAGAGCAAAACTGTCAGTAAATAAATAAATAAGCCGGGCGCAGTGGCTCACACCTGTAATCCTAGCACTTTGGGAGGCCGAGTTGGGTGGATCACCTGAGGTCAGGAGTTCAAGACCAGCCTGGCTGTCATTACTAAAAGTACAAAAATTGCTGGGCACAGTGGTGCGCACCTGTAGTCCCAGCTACTCGGGAAGCTGAGGCAGGAGAATGGCTTGAACCCAGGAGGCAGAGATTGCAGTGAGCCGAGATTGAGCCACATGACTCCAGCCTGGGCAACAAAGCGACACTCCATCTCAAAAAAATTAAATAAATAAAATTTAAAAAATGAAAACAAGGGAAATCTTGCTGCATGCGGTGGCTCATGTCTGTAATCCAGCACTTTGGGAGGCCAAGGCCAGAGGAACGCTTCAACCCAGGGCAGTGAGCCGAGATCACGCCACCGCACTCCAGCCTGGGCAGCAGAGGGAGACCGTCTCAAAACAACAACAAATTAAAAAACAAAAAAACCTTTATCAGTGACATGTTAAGAGAAAAGAGAGACAGGGACCTAGCAGAAACGATGGCACTGTTTTCTACGTGTTATGTGGTTTAGAAATGCATGATACTGGCTCAGCACGGTGGCTCACACCTGTAATCCCAGCACTTTGGGAGGTCGAGAGATCGAGACCAGCGTGGCCAACATGGTGAAACGCCGTCTCTACTAAAAAGTACAAAAATTAGCTGGACGTGGTCGTGCGTGCCTGCAGTCCCAGCTACTCGAGAGGCTGAGACAGGAGAATCACTTGAACCCAGGAGGTGAGCCAAGATGTCACCACTACACTCGAGCCTGGTGACAGTACAAGATTCCATCTCAAAAAACAACAACAAAAAAACTCCATCCTATTGATGGGCCTCAATTTATATTCTCCTGTATAAAATAAAAAACATCTGTAGATACAAAATCATAAAATACGTATAAGATACAAAATACATATTTTATATAAGAAGACGGGGTTTCACCATGGTGGGCACGGTGGTATGCGCCTGTAGCCCCGGCTACTCGGGAGGCTGAGGCAGGAGAATCTCTTGAACCGGGGAGGCAGAGGTTGCAGTGAGCCGAGATCGCGTCACTGCACTCCAGCCTGGCAACTCTGAGACTGAGGACTCCATTTCAAAAAAAAGAAAAGAAAAAGAACAAAAGAAATGCGTGATACTGCATTAAATACGGTGCGTGGCCTTGGAAAAGACCCAGAATGGGCATGTGGAAACGGCCTCTGAAGGGTTGCATGTGAGTGACTGCCATGGCGGAAGGAGAGCTGTCTGAAATCAGACAGTCATGACCCGGGATGGGGAAGGCGTGGCTCCCAGCACACTGGCGGAGCTGTCGGAGGGTGTGCGGCACGCGGCCTGTGCTTGCTTCTGAAGGTCAGTGCAGCCGGATGCGGTGTGCAGCGTCTTTGCCGACAGTTTTTGGTTGGGGATGAAACGGTGTGTGAACGAATGCAAAATTCAGGTTATGCTCAAAATCGTTTAGTCACATTGGAGCAAGCTTGCATTTCAAAAACAGGCATTGGCCGGGTACCGTGACTGATACCGGTGATCCCGGCACTTTGGGAGGCTGAGGCGTGTGGATCACCTGAGGTCAGGAGTTCGGGACCAGCCTGGACAACATGGCGAAAACACGTCTCTACTGAAAATACAAAAATGAGCCGGGCGTGGTGGTGGGTGCCTATAATAATCCCACCTACTTGGGAGGCTGAGGCAGGAGAATCACTTGTACCCGGGAGGTGGAGGTTGCAGTGAGCCGAGACCGTGCCACTACACTCTAGCCTGTGCGGCAGAGCAAGACTCCATCTAAAAAACAAGCAGATAAAAAGCAAGCATTGGCTAGATACAGTGGCTGACACCTGGAATCCCAGCACTTTGGGAGGGTAAGGTGGGAGGACTGCTTGAGGCCAGGAGTTCAAGACCAGCTTAAGCAACATAGTGAGACCCCATCGCTACAAAAATTAAAAAGTTAGGCATGCTGGTGTGTGCCTGTGGTTCCAGCTACCTGGGAGGCCAAGGTGGGAGGATCTCTTGAACTTAGGAGTTAAAGGCTGCAGTGAGCTATGACTTTGCCACTTCGATCCAGCCTGAGTGACAAAGAGACCCTGTCTCTTAAAATAATTTATCTATTGCTGTCAAGGGCAGGGATTACTGTTTTTGTGAGGTGGGAATGGGAAAAGGGCATTTTTAGGTTTGGAATTAGCAGATTTGGGGGACTGTTTAGGGCTTCAGATGAGCAAGGTTTTAAAATGCTGTTGTTACTTATACTTTGTATATTAGCCATCCATTGGGGATTTGGAGGGGGACAATTTAGAGGAGTGTCTGTAACTTAAAAATATTTGTGGTTGGTATATTATGTTATTAATTATCTGTGGTTTTAGGATATCTGGGACTGGGGACCAGATAATTCTCTTATTTCACCTGATTTTGTTTCTGCATCATCTGAGTTTTGAAAATTATCCAAGGTCTGGAGAGTTATCCCTGTCTGCGGCTTGAGAAAGTGAAATTAAAAAAAAATTTTTTTGGCTAGACGCAGTGGCTCATCCCTGTAATCCCAGCACTTTGGGAGTCCAAGGAGGGAGGATCTCTTGAGCCCAGGAGTTCCAGACCAGCCTGGGCAACATGGGGAAACCTCTACAAAAATTTTAGCCAGCCTGGGTGCAGTGACTGACACCTGTAATCCCAGCACTTTGGGAGGCTGAGGTAGGCGGATCACTTGAGGTCAGGAGTTCGAGACCAGCCTGGCCAACATGGTGAAACCCCATCTCTACTGAAAATACAAAAATTATCCGGGCGTGGTGGTGGGCGCGTCATCCCAGCTACTCGGGAGGCTGAGGCAGGAGAACTGCCTGAACCCGGGAGGCAGAGGTTGTAGTCAGCCGACATTGCGCCACTACACTCCAAGGCTTGGATGACAGAGCGAGACTCCATCTCAAAAAAAAAAAAATTCAGGCATGATGGCTGAAAACCAGACTTTTAGAAACGAGTTTTATTTTAGAGATTTATTATTATTAGTGCAAAGTTGCCTTATTCTGCACTCCCAGCTCGTCTGACTTTTGTACGTGATCCAGAGTTTGAGGTTTAGGGAGGGATTTTCCGGAGGGCGGGCTTCCTGGGGAGTTTTCAGGTATCCGGGGTCGGGGACTGAGGGTTGATCTGGGCTGTGGGTCTTGTCAGTTACCTGGAGTCTGAGGATCACCCGTGGTGCAGAGTAGCCCAGTGTGGGACCGTCTGGTGCAGGCGAGGGGTGGGTGTGTCCTGTCTCCGTCCCCAGCCCGTGCCCAGGCCCCTTCTTTCTGGGTGTCTGGGTCACCCCTCTCCCGACAGCTGGAGAAGCCGGATGCGGGCTCCAGACCTGTGCCCCTCCCCCGGGGGGGGTCCGCCTCCTCTCCTTGGGGGCTTTATGTCTTTCTCTCCCCCACCTGCAGGTCCCGAAGGCTGTAACCTGTTTATCTACCACCTCCCCCAGGAGTTTGGAGACACGGAGCTGACGCAGATGTTCCTGCCCTTCGGCAATATCATTTCCTCCAAGGTGTTTATGGATCGAGCTACCAACCAGAGCAAGTGTTTCGGTGAGTGGCCGCTGACGCCCCTCCCCATCCGCCCGACGCCCCTCCCCATCCGCCCGACGCCCCTCCCCACCCACCCCACGCCCCTCCCCATCCACCCCACGCCCCTCCCCATCCGCCCCGACGCCCCTCCCCATCCGCCCCACGCCCCTCCCATCCACCCGACGCCCCTCCCCCTCCACCCCGACACCTCCCATCCACCCGACGCCCCTCCCCTCCACCCCGACACCTCCCATCCGCCCCACGCCCCTCCCATCCACCCGACGCCCCTCCCCATCCACCCCGACACCACCCATCCGCTCCACGCCCCTCCCATCCACCCGACGCCCCTCCCCATCTGCCCCACGCCCCCCATCCACCCCGACACTCCCCCCGATCCGCCCCACGCCCCTCCCATCCACCCGACGCCCCTCCCCATATGCCCGACGCCCCTCCCCATATGCCCGACGCCCCTCCCCATACGCCCTGACCCCCCACCCCATCAGCCCGACGCCCACCCATCCACCCCAGGCCCCTCCCCATCCACCCCCGACGCCTCTCCCCATCCGTCCCACGCCCCTCCCCATCCGCCCCCGACGCCCCCCATCCGCCCACGCCCCTCCCCATCCACCCCCGACGCCTCTCCCCATCCGTCCCACGCCCCTCGCCATCCGCCCCCACGCCCCTCCCCATCCGCCCCCGACGCCCCTCCCCATCTATCGCCGCTGGCCCTCCTCATCCGCCCCGACGCCCCCCATCCGCCCCGACAACCCTCCCCATCCGCTCCGACGCCACCCCCCCCATCCGCCCCACGCCCCTCCCCATCTGCACCATGCCCCTCACATCCACCCCGACGCCCCTCCCCATCTGCCCCGAAGCCCCTCCGATCCGCCCCACGCCCCTCCCATCCAGCCCTCCCCATCCGCCCTGACGCCCCTCCCCATCAGCCCGACGCCCCCCCATCCGCCCCAGGCCCCTCCCCATCCACCTCCGACGCCTCTCCCCATCCGCCCGACGCCCCCCCATCCGCCCGACGCCCCCCGATCCGTCCCACGCCCCTCCCCATCCGCCCCCACGCCCTTCCGCATCCGCCCCCGACGTCCCTCCCCATCCGCCCCCGACGCCCCTCTCCATCCCCGCTACCCCTCCCCATCCGCCCCAACGCCCCTCCCCATCCGCCCACGCCCCTCCCCATCCGTCCCACGCCTCCATCTGCCCCCACGCCCCTCCCCATCCGCCCCACGCCCCTCCCCATCCGCCCGACGCCCCTCCCATCCGCCCCCGACGCCCCACCCCAACCGCCCCCGACGCCCCTCCCCATCCATCCCCGCTGCCCCTCCCATCTGCCCCCACGCCCCTCCCCATCGACCTCCCTCGCCTGCACCTGCATGGGGACGGGGAATAAGAGGGTTTGGTCAGGGGCAAGGCTGTGCTGAAATAGTTCACAATCAGAAACAGCACGTGGATCACGCCTGCGATGCCAGCACTTTGGGAGGCTGAGGTGGGAGGATCATATGAGTCCAGGAGTTCAAGACCAGCCTGGGCAACACAGTGAGACCCTGTATTTACTAAAAAAAAAAAAAAAAAAAAAAAAAAAAAAAAGTTTTTGGCTGGGCGTGGTGGCTCACGCCTGTAATCCCAGCACTTTGGGAGGCCGAGGTGAGTGCATCACCTGAGGACAGGCGTTCAAGACCAGCCTGGCCCACATGGAGACCGCATCTCTACTAAAAATACAAAAATTAACTGGGTGCCATGGTAGGCACCTGTAATCCCAGCTACTCGGGAGGCTGAGGCAGGAGAATGGCTTGAACCCTGGAGGCGGAGGTTGCAGTGAGCCGAGATTACACCACTGCCCTCCAGCCTGGGAGACAGAGCAAGACTTTGTCTCAAAAAAAGGTGGAGAGGGGGAGGTTAATTAGCTGAGCTCAGCTGCATGTGCTTGTAGTCCCAGCTACTCAGGAAGCTAAGATGGGAGGATTGCTTGAGCCCAGGAGTTCAAGACCAGCCTGGGCAGCATAGCAAGACCCCATCTCTGAAAAAAAAAAAAATTAGCCAGGCGTGGTATGGCACACTTGTAGTCTCAGCTACTCGATGCCTTGAGCTCATGAGGTCGAGGCTGCAGTGAGCCATGATCACACCACTGCACTCCAGCCTGGACGACAGAGCAAGACCCTGTCTCATGTAAAAATCAAAAACAGCAGAACGAACCTGTGTGAAGCCCATACTGCACGTCAGGCACTTTCCAGCCCAGCACAGAAGGAGGCTGACAAAAACCCCTGCCTTCCAGGGAGCTCATGGTGTTTCTGGCTCCCTGCAGAGCGTTATCCGGTGACAGAAATGTTCTTCCTTGGAGCTGTCTGATACCACAGCACCAGCCCCACGTGGCTACTGCACACTTGAAATGTGGTCAGGGTGAAAAAGAACTGAATTTTTAGGTAGGATGTAGGTCAGTGAGTTTTAAATGATATGAAGAAAAATAAAACTGCTAAGAAAATAGAGACTGGTGAGGTTGAAGTGGGAATGTTATCCCGGGTGATCAGGAGGAGGTGATGTTAGAACTGAGACCCGGGACTGGGCGTGGTGGCTCACGCCTGTAATCCCAGCACTTTGGAAGGCTGAGGAGGGCGGGTTACTTGAGGTCAGGAGTTCTAGACCAGCCTGGCCGACATGAGTGAAACCCCGTCTCTACTAAAAATACAAAAAATTAGCCAGGTGTGGTGGCGGGCACCTGTAATCCCAGCTACTCAGGAGGCGGCAGCGGGAGAATCGCTTGAACCCAGAAGGTGGAGGTTGCAGTGAGCTGAGATTGTGCCACTGCACTCCAGCCTGGGCAACAAGAGCAAACTCCATCTCAAAAAAACAAAAGATGAAAGCCCTTGACTTTTTTTTTTTTTTTGAAATGGAGTCTCGATCTGTCAGTGAGATCTCGGCTCACCACCACCTCCATCTCCTAGGCTCAAGCAATTCCCCTGCCTCAGCCTCTCGAGGAGCTGGGATTACAGGTGCCCGCCACCACGCCCAGCTAATTTTTGTATTTTTAGTAGAGACGGGGTTTCACCGTGTTGGTCAGGCTGGTCTCAAACTCCTGACCTCACATGATTCACCCACCTCGGCTTCCCAGAGTGCTGGGTTTACAGGCAGAAGCCACTACACCCCGTCATGGGGTGGAGTATTTCTGATGGCCTCTGGACAGAGACTGGGTCACAGACACTGACAGAGATGAAGAAAAAGAGACAGACAGAGCTGAGACACAAGAGGGGAGAGAGAGAGAGAGAGAAAACTCAAAGAGAAACGGAGACCATTAGCCAGGCATGGTGGTATGGGCCTGTGGTCCCAGCTACTCAGGAGGCTGAGGCAGGAGGATCTCTTGAGTCTTGGAGGTCAAGGCTGCTGTAAGCTGAGATGGCGCCACTTCACTGCAGCCTGGGTGACAGAGTGCGACCCTGTCCTCCCTCCCCCTACAAAAAAGAGAGAAACAAGGATGCAGACACAGAGTCAGCTGGAGACACAGATCCTGGCTAGACAGAGGGCTGGGAAGGAGGCAGGCATCCTCCTGAGGGAAGGCGTGGAGAAGGTGGCCCTTCCCGGACCCTCAGAGGCCCCACCTCGCCTCCGTGCCAGCCGGGAAGTCTCAGCAGAGCAGACCCCAAGAGAAGGAGTGAGTGCCCCGTCCTCAGAGGTATACAAGTCCAGAGGTATCGGAACAAAGCCAGGGCTGCTGCCGCGTGTCCTCCTCCACACGCCGCCCGGGCCGTGCAAGTGTGCAAACACACACCTGCCGGGGACTGTGAGCCGGGAAGCCAGGGCCACAGCGTAGGGACCAACCAAGGACGCCCACAGTGCCAACCATGGAGGTCCACCCCCGTTTCTGCAGGCTTCGTGAGCTTTGATAACCCGGCCAGCGCCCAGACAGCCATCCAGGCCATGAACGGCTTCCAGATCGGCATGAAGAGACTCAAAGTACAGCTGAAGCGGCCCAAAGACCCGGGACACCCCTACTGACCGCGCCCACAGCCGCCCCGAGGCTGTGGGCATGGCCCAGGTGAGCCGCCAGGCGGCCCCACCCCCACCCCAGCCCCCGCTCCCCCACCCCCTCTTGTCCGAAACCCCCTCCCGCGGCCCGCTTCATGCTCCAAACCTGCCCCAGGTGGGGTGATACTTCCAGAGGCTGCAGGAAACCTCCAGGTTGGGTCGGCGGGCACAGAGCTGGACGTAGACACCCCCAATCCCGCTGTGGTCGGGGCTGGAGTAGGGTACGGACTGAGGGGAGCCCGGGCCCTGCCAGGGCGGTTAGGGAATCGTTCCCGGAGAAGGCTTTGAGGGATGAATAGAAGTTCACCTGAGAGACCAGGTTTGCCCTGGGGTTGGGGGTGCGGTGGGGAGGGCTTCTGTCTGTCCTATGAATCTGTTTTCCCTGCCAAAAAACCCCAAACCAGACAAAAATGTGAAGTGCCACCCCAGACCCCAGACCCGAAGGTCGGACCCCAACTTGGGACCAGGGCTGGAGAGAGGAGGGTGGGGACAGTGCCCAGGGCCTGGTCCCGTTGGCCTTGACACTTTCCAGTCTCCCAGCTCCATTTCCACCAGTTCCCCTGGGATGAGCGGCCCCTCACTGGGTGTCATTCTTACCCAATGAGTTGATGGAAAAGTGGAATTCACGCACCACCCACCATCACGTAAGAAAAACGAACAAAACACAACCAAACCCAGAGCGGATTTTGCCACCAAGGCAAACCGCCTTCTCAACAATTTTTTTTTTGGGGGGGACGAGATGAACGGTAAACCTTGTGGGGCCGCTGTAGGAACTCAACCCTGGATCTCAAACCTTAATGAGCCTCATCTGTAAAATGGGCTCAAGAAAGTCATCTCCCCAGAGGCGGCAGAAACGGTCCATCTAGGGAACGGAGGTTTCTTTTCACAGCCGAGCCCAGAACCCACCGCCTAAAGAGCCGTGGATAATTCGCTGTGATTTGTTGTTGCTGTGGTTTTAAATCACCATCACCATCATCAAAGAGCCTTGCCTAGAGCTGGCAGCATAGATGCTCAGTTAGAGGCCTTCTGGGTCGGCACACACAGATTTGGGAGTGTTTAACAGCACAAAACGCGCCTTCGGGAACTGCCAGCCAGAAGCGAAATCCAAAGCCACTGTCTGTGACCCCTTCACTTTTCACTCTCAGTCTGCCCCCCCTCCCTTTTTTTTTTTTTTTAACTGAGCATCTATTATGTGCTAGGTACTGTCCCAGTGCTCAGGGACGCAGCTGTGAATGAACAGAAACGGGGACGGTTGGGGGGGGCGGGTGCAGGGGAGAAACTGCCTTCACGGACCTTAGACGGCAGGAAGCAGGGAAGGAGAGACAGAAAACAGACAGAAATATCTGTCCCCAGCTGCCAGAGGAGGAGAAAAACGGGCTGGTGATGGTGACGTTAGGTTCTTTGAATGCTGGGTTTGTTGGCCTCTGAACTCCGGCCTTTGTGGGATCTGTTCTTTCGGAAAAGATGGGAGCCTGTGGGTTCCTAGACCCCAGCCTGGCCAGGGCAAGGCGGGTGGAGCCGGGTGGGGAGGCGGGTGTCCACCTGTGCGGCCCCTAACGCCCATCCCTTCTCCCCCAGGTGAGGGGCCTTCCCATCCCAGGAGGGTTTTCCGCTTCCAACCGGTCCAGGACTTTTCCATAAATTACAACCGTTCTTTGGACACCAGCCCTTTCTTCCCCTCGCCCCCACCCCCGCCCCCCACTGGAGGCCGCCCGGAGTGGGGAGGGGGCTTTGTGGTCTGTCCTGGGGCAGGGGTCGGGGTGGGGAGAGGCTCCAGAATCGGGGACAGCAGCGTTCACACACCCCCTGCTTTGGGAAACGCCCTCGCTTCCTCCCCACCTAACTCGGTGACTTCCCCAAATTAAATCACCACCTTTCCTATATATATATATATGCATATATAGAGAGAGATCTATAGACGGTATATATATATTTTTTGAGTACGGATCATGGGACCAAACTTTTCCGACTTCCTTCCATCCGAGTCGAGTGACCCTGGGCCGGTCACTCAGCGGGGACACAGGAAGGGCTGAGGTTGGTGGGACCCCGGGCAGCAGACAGGTGCCCCTCCCCCCCACCTCCCGGCTGGCACATCCCACCAGGAAACCCACCAACACAATATACCTCCAGGACTTTTGGCAACCCCCCCGCCCGCCCTCCGCCACTGATTCTCCAGGGCCGTTGAACTCTGATAGCTTCGACGTCCCTGGTCCCAGCTACCGCCTCCAGGCCCCACCTGGCCCCTTCCTCCCAGAGCCTTCCTGGGTAGGTCAAGGTACAACAGACGCTCTGGCCGGCCGCAGCCCTTCTCTGCTCCCCTCCCTGAGTCATAGCCTTACTCATGTGACCAGTAGCCCTTAGCTTTCCGTCGGAGGGGGGGCAGACAGGGTTGGGGGGAGGCTCCCCCTGCCCCTCACCACCCCCTCCCAAGGCCAGGCAGCCATGGTCCCTGCCTTCGAATCACCAGCCTCGAATATAAGGTCTTGTAACCAGGATTGCCAAGCGTAGCGGAAGACCCCTACCTGGACTGGCCAAGCACCCCTTTGACCGGAGATGACGAACTTGATAATGACCTTCATACCTCTACAGAGATTTTTTTTTTTTTTTTCTTTTTTTTTCCGGTCTTTCTGAGCAGGTACAAAGAAGAAAAGAGAAGAAAAAAAAAAAAAAATCGGGGGAAAAAAACCCAATCAAACCGCAATGAATTTTGGTTTCCTCGTTGGGAGTGGGGTGGGGGGGGACTTTGTGGGGTGCCTTTGTACAGCTGCCCGATCCGCGACACCCACGTCAAAGCACAGAATCAAATTCGCTTGGACATCCAGCGAGGCCTCTCACCCAATGAGGCGCCAGATAACTTCATAAGCTCAAAGGAAAAAAAAAAAAAAAAAAAAAAAAAAAAAAAAAAAAAACATTTAAAAAGAAAAAGAAAAAAAAAAAACCACAAAAAAACCAAGCATTTTTTTCTTTCTACCAAAATGTGTTGACTGACCCGGAGGGGGTGGGCGGTGGGGTGGGGGGAACCACACAGCAGAGAAAAAAAAAAAAAAAAGAAAAAAAAAAGAAAAAAAAAAAAGGAAAAAGAAAAAAAAAATCTTCTGAAGCAGCGCGTTTCGATATTCCAGAGTTTGATAAGTGTTTTGAGACTCTCCTCTAGCGTGCCTGTGTCCTGTGTGTCTCTGTCTGCAAGCGTGTGCCAATCGGCCTGGAGGGGGCCCCACCCGCGTCCGCGGCGCCCGCCGAGCCCCCGAGGGCCCGCTTGGGAGTGCGTGCTGGTGTGCATTTGTGTGCGTCCTGGTCCACGTTTACTGGCTGTAAATACCACTTTTATACTCCACCTCGAAGACCGTGATTTGTACGACGTCCTTTATTTCTGCTACGAGTAATTTCATGAAGTTTCAACTTGCAAACTGACTTTTGGGACAAACCAGCCCACACACACACACACACACACACACAGAGAGAAAAGACAGCAAAGAGCTTGGGACTTTGGGTCGATTTGGTTTGAGTTCTGTGTCAAAGAAGATTTTCCTGTGGCTGGAGAGGTGGCCGTTCCCGTTGCGTGTTTCAGGTGAGAAACAGCAAAGCGTCTTCATGTCCAAAACGCCTCTCTTTGGTCTGAAAACAAACAAACAAACAAACAAAAAAACCTAAAAATTTATTTAATAAAAGTTTTACTTGCTAAAGGGCTGCCTCCTGTTTCTTTCCTGTCTCAACCACACAGATGAAGTGTGTCCGGCCCCGTCCAGCGCCTAGGCAGGAGAGAAATTCAGGTTTAGTGTGAGGGGTTGCAGAAGGGGATATTCAGAGATGCCAAATATAGATATAGATACCGCGGACAGGCACGGTGGCTCACGTCTGTAATTGCAGCACTTTGGGAGGCCGAGGCGGGTGGATCAGCTGAAGTTGGGAGTTCGAGACCAGCCTGGCCAACGTGGCGAAACCCCATCTTCACTAAAGTGTGTGTGTGTGAGCTGGGCATGGTGGCACATGCCTGTAATCGCAGCTACTCAGGAGGTTGAGGTATGAGAATCACTTGAACCCAGGAGTCAGAGGAGGTTGCAGTGAGCCGAGATCACGCCACTGCACTCCAGCCTAGGCAACAGTGTGAGACTCTTTCTCAAAAAAAAAAAAAAAAAAGATACCAGGTCTAAGGATCTGGGATCTGGGAGCGGTCTGCTGAAGCCACAGGTATTTGTTGATTATATCACACTTTTTTTAAGGCAAGGTCTCACTCTGTCGCCCAGGCTGGAGTGCAATGGCACAATCTCGGCTCACGGCAACCTCCACCTCCCAGGTTCAAGCGATTCTCCTGCCTCAGCCTCCTGAGTAGCTGAGATTACAGGCACACGCCACCACACCCAGCTAATTTTGTATTTTTAGTAGAGACAGAGTTTCACCATGTTGACCAGGCTGGTCTCAGACTCCTGACCTCAGGTGATTGGTCGGCCTTCGTCTCCCAAGATGCTGGGATTACTGGTGTAAGCCACTGTACCCGGCCTACTTTAAGCAATTTATATGACTCAACTCATTTAATCTGCCGCAAGTCCCTAAGGTAAGTTCTGCTAATAATATTCCCACTGTACAAGTTAGTAAAAGCCCAGAGAGGTTAAGGGACCTCCCTGAGGCTGCACAGCAGTACTTGAACCCTGGCTTTCTGGCATTCTCTTAGCTGCTGTGTAGTGGCCCAAATCAAATGTATTAGATGAGAATTCAAGCTACTGTTTGAAATAGGCCAATTTAAGCTTTTACTTTTTTTTTTTTTCTTTTTCTTCTTAGAGTCTTGCTCTGTCTTTCAAGCTGGGGTGCAGTGGCATGATCTCGGCTCATTGCAACCTCCACCTCCCAGGTTCAAGTGATTCTCCTGCCCGAGCCTCCCAAGTACCTGGGATTACAGGTGCCCGCCACTAAACCTGGCTGATTTTTTGTATTTTTAGTAGAGCTGAGGTTTCAGTGTGTTAGCCACGATGGTCTCGATCTCCTGACCTCGTGATCTGCCCACCTCGGCCTCCCAAAGTGCTGGGATTACAGGTGTGAGCCACCGTGCCCCGCACTTTTAAAAGTTAACCCAGTGTTATTAAACATTTAGAATGTGCACCCTTAAAATACACCAATTCTGGCAGGGCACAGTGGCTCACGCCTGGAATCCTAGCACTTTGGGAAGCCGAGGTGGGTAGGTCACACAAGGTCAGGAGTCCGAGACTAGTGTGGCCAACATGGTGAAACTCCGTCTCTATTAAACATACAAAACTTAGCCCGGCATAGTCTGGACTCCTGTAATCCCAGCTATTCGGGAAGCTGAGGCAGGAGAATCGCTTGAACCTGGGAGGTAGTGGCTGCGGTGAGCTGAGATCATGCCACTGCACTCCAGCCTGGGTGACAAAGCAAGACTCCGTCTCAAAAAATAAAAATAAAAATGGCCGGGGGGCTGTGGCTCAGGCCTGTAATCCCAGCACTTAGGGAGGTCGAGGCAGGTGGGTCACCTGAGGCCAGGAGTTCGAGACCAGCCTGACCAGTACGGTGAAACCCTGTCTCTACTAAAAATACAAAAATTAGCTGGGTGTGATGGTGCGCGCCTGTAGTCCCAGCTACTTGGGAGTCCAAGGCAGGAGAATCGCTTGAACCCAGGAGGCAGAGGTTACAGTGAGCCGAGATCACGCCATTGTGCTGCAGCCTGAGCAACAGAGCAAGACTCCATTTTTAAAAAAACGAATGACCAAGGGTGTGCTTAGGGCAGGGGAACGTTAGCTATGATGTAAGTGTTCATCTGGGGCACAGGCTAAGTGACATACAGGGGGCATCCATTAGCTGTTGCTGCATAACAACTTACCCACCCCCCAATCTGTCAGCTTGAAGCACACGTTAGTATCTGACCTACACCATCTCTGTGGGTCAGGAGTCCGGGACTGATTTAGCTGGGTGGTTCTGGCTCACAGTCTCTCATGAGCTTGCAGTCAAACTGTCACTGGGGCTGCCACATCTGAAGGTTGTTTTTTTTTCTTTCTTTGTTTCATAATCAACTCTCAGCAGCATGTGAAGGTTTGACTGGGGCCCTCACATGGCTGTTGGTGAATCTCCACGGTACTGCTTGAGCATCCTCACAACATGGCGGCTGGTTTTTCCCAGAGTGTGATCCGTAAGAGAGAGAGAGAGGTCATATAGACTCTTGAGTTTTTTGAGGCTGTTTTGAGACGGTCTCGCTCTGACGCCCAGGTGCCGTCCTAGCTCAGTGCAGCCTTGAAATTCTGGACTCAAGAGATCCTCAGAGTAGCTGGGATTACAAATGCATATGTCACCACACCCAGCTTATTCTTTTATTTATTTATTTTTTGTAGTGACAGGGTCTCACTCTATTGCCCAGGCTGGTCTTGAACTCCTGGGCTCAAGTGAGTCTGCCACATGGGCCTCCCAAAGTGCTGGGATTATAGGCGTGAACCACTGTGCCCACTGCATAAATTTACTCTTTACAACCCTGGTAGCTTTCTTTCCCCCAAAGCACGCTACAGTCGCACGATAAAGCCTTATGTGTATTGAGCACCTACTGTGTGCGGCTTGGGATTAACTCTTTTTGTCCTCACCACCAACCAGCAACGTGGGTTTCAACTGTGAGTCTCACTTTGCAGATGAGAAAATGCAGGGGCAGATTTGTGGAGAGGTGAGCCCAAGGCCACACAGTTGGGACATAGTGGAGCCAGGATTTGAACCAGTGCCCTGTTAACCCCTGCCTCGGTTCCCCTCCCTTCTCATTCGCTGCAGGGATCACAGTTATAACCCCCTGCTCATGTATGAGCTGGCTTCTTCGATGTCTGTCTACTCGACACAACCTTTCAGGTTTCATGACGGGATGAGATGAGTTCACAGTAAGTGTAAATGGCTTTGTTTTTATGGTTTTTGTTTTCAAATTTAATTAATTGATTAATTTTTCTTTTTTTGGGGCAGAGTCTCTGTCATCCAGGCTGGAGTGCAATGGCACGATCTTGCCTCACAGCAACCTCCGCCTCCCAGGTTCAAGCAATTCTCCTGCCTCAGCCTCCTGAATAGCTGAGACTACAGGCACGCGCCACCACGCCCAGCTAATTTTTGTGTTTTTAGGAGAGACGGGGTTTCCCCATGTTGGCCAGGCTGCTCTTAAACTCCTGATCTTGTGATCTGCCTGCCGCAGCCTCCCAAAGTGCTGGGATTACAGGTTGAGCCACCGCACCTGGCCTATTTATTTATTTTGAAACAGTGTCTCATTCTGTCGCCCAGACTGGAGCACAGAGGTGCAATCTCAGCTCCCTGCAACCTCCACCTTTTAGGTTCAAGCAATTCTCCTGCCTCAGCCTCCCAAGTAGCTGGGACTACAGATGCATGCCACTACACCTGGCTACTTTTTAGTAAAGATGGGGTTTCTCCATGTTGGCCAGGTTGGTCTTGAACTCCTGACCTCAGCTGATCTGCCCGCCTTAGCCTCCCACAGTGCTGGTATTACAGGCTTGAGCCACCGCGCCCAGCCTGTTTTTACGTTTGAGACAGGGTCTCCCTCTGTCACTCAGGCTGGAGTGCAGTGGCACGATCAGCTCACTGCAGCCTGCAGCTCCCGGGCTCAAGCAATCCTCCTGCTTCTGCTTCCCAAGTATCTGGCACTACAGATGCATGCCACCACACCTTGGGCTAATTTTTTTGATATTTTTTTTTTGTAGAGATGGGGTCTCACTATGTTGTCCAGGTTCATCTTGAACTCCTGGGCTTAAGCAGTCCTCCTGCCTTGGCCTCCCAAAGTGCTGGGATTACAGGCATGAGCCCTTACATCTGGCGGGGTTGTTTGTGTATTCCCTGCTGCCTAGCACACGATGCCTGCTTACTATTAATAAATGCACTAAAAGCATAATGCCTGAGTCTAGAATCATACTATTCCAGATTTTGA